AGGAAGGAAGGAAGGAAGGAAGGAAGGAAGGAAGGGAAATAAAAGCAGAATAACAGAGCTGGAAGGGACCTTGGAGGTCTTCTAGTCCAACCCCTTCGCAAGCAGGAAATCATATCCCATTTCAGACAATGGCTGTCCAGGCTCTTTAAAAAAAACACCCAGTGATGCGGGAGGGAGGGAGGGAGGGAGGGAGGGAGGGAGGGAGGAAGGAAGGATAGCAAATTAACAGAGTGGGAAGGGACCTTGGAGGTCTTCTAGTCCACTTCCACACAATGGTGGCAGCATCCCCTTAGTCACACGATCCAGATTCAGAGGCTTGGCAACGGGCTCGCATTTGCGACAATTTTCTTGTGCGCGACGAGAAAAGATTGTCCAATCCTTTCTTTAAAAACGTCCAGCGATGGAGCCACCCGCAGCTTCTGGTGGCAAGTTGTTCCACTGGTTAATTGTCCTCATACTGATTCTTTTTTTCTCCCGTACAGGTGAGGCAATGGGGAGCCCTGAAGATGACCTGATTGGCATACCTTTCCCAGAACACAGCAGTGAATTACTGGGCCGCCTGAATGAGCAGCGTCGGCGAGGGATGCTCTGCGACGTCACCTTACGCGCCCAGGGCTCCGAGTATAAGAGTCACCGGGCGGTATTGGCGGCCTGCAGCCTCTACTTCCAAAGGCTCTTCGCCGGCCCCAGCATGGCCGTGTGCGAGCTGGATTTCGTGGAGGCGGAAGCCTTGGGAGCCCTGCTGGACTTCGCCTACACCGCCACCCTGACCATCAGCACGGGAAGCCTCGGCGAGGTGCTGCGCGCCGCGCGGATCCTGGAGATACCCTGCGTCATCGCGGCGTGCATGGAGATCCTGCAAGGGAATGGTTTGGAGGCCCCCGTGCCGGATGTCGCCGCTCGGGAACGCGCCCGGCGTTACCTGGAAGCTTTCGGCACGCTGCCCAACATGGAAGGCGACTTGCCTGAGCCTCCCGCACGCCCAGCTGCCCGCCGGAGTAAGAAAACACGCAAGTTCTTGCAAGCCAGAGGTTCGCAGCTAAACAACCACATCACGGAGATTTCTCCTTCGTTGTCTCCATCCTCAACAGGGACTCAGGAGCGCCCCAGTCCACCCAACCAGGCGTCACCTGTCCCCGTGTTGGGCCACCCTCGTGAGGAGGACGAGGAGGTGATGGCCCCCTCTCGTACCTTCCCCTTCCCGTACAATCTCTCCCCAGAAGATCTGGGTTCAGAGGACGAGCCCACGGAGCAGGACATCCTAACCTACATGCGTCGGCTAAACCAGGAAGGGCTGTCTGTGGGTCTCGATCCCCCAGACAAGCTGGTACGCAAACGGCGTTCGCAGATGCCCCAGGAGTGTCCTGTCTGTCACAAGATCATCCATGGGGCAGGCAAGCTACCTCGTCACATGCGGACCCACACCGGGGAGAAGCCATTCGCCTGTGACGTGTGTGGCGTCCGTTTTACCAGGTAAGAGTAGATCTTGACTCGGAAGGAGCTGTTTGCATCCCAGACCCCCCCTCCCCAAATTAATCCCAGTATTAAGAGGCTGGGTATCAAGTGTTGGTTTTGGAGAGACGAAAGATTTCCCACTCATGGAATCTGGGATGGAGGAAGGAAGAAAAGAGAGGGAGAAGGGAGGGAGGAAGGGGAAAAGAGGAAAAGGGAAAAAGGGAGGAAGGAAAGAAGAAGGAAAAAGGGAGAAAGGAAAGGAAAGCGGGAAGGAGGAAAGGAGAGAGAGAGAGACAAGAAAAATAGTAAAATAGGGGAAAACTCACTTAACAAATGTTTCACTTTGCAACATAAATTTTAGTCTGAATTGTGGTCATAACTTGAGGCTTACCTATAATTGCATCTCCTTGCTCACTCCATTTTCCTGGCTTCCGTCCTTCTGAGGGCTGAGCTGACTGTCAAACCCCTAGCAATACTCCCTCCCTCAATTTACACCCGTGTTCCTCGTCTCTCCTTTCTCCAGGAATGACAAACTCAAGATCCACATGCGCAAACACACCGGCGAGCGCCCTTATTCGTGTCCCCACTGCACAGCTCGCTTCCTTCACAGCTACGATCTGAAAAACCACCTTCACTTGCACACGGGCGCCCGCCCCTATGAGTGCTGCCTTTGCCACAAAGCCTTCGCCAAGGAGGACCATCTCCAGCGCCACCTGAAAGGCCAGAACTGTCTGGAAGTCCGGACCAGGCGCCGGCGGAGGGGTCCCGATCCGGAGACCGATTCCCTGGCACCTTCTGGCATTGCCTTGTCCTCCGCTCAATTTGGCTTGACCAACGGGCGCGTGGAGGAGCAACACAACTACTGGCCTGCTGGGGCGGACGCCAGGTCACCTGCCCCCAAAGAGGAAGAGGAGGAGGAAGAGGAAGAAGGAGCCGTAGAGGGGGTGCAGCAGGATGGCCCAACGGCAGCTGTCCAAACGGCGTAACGTCCTCGGATGGCCATCGCCGCAAAACTCGTTTGTGCACTATCTCTATTCATTCGCTCGACTAGACCGTCGGTGGCGAGATGATATAGCATTCCCCGGACATTTTCACGGAGACCAAATGCACTAGCCCCCCCCCCCCTTCCCCACTCTCCCAATTCCATGCCTTAAGCAGCCTATCAAGCCAAGGAGAGTGGGGCCAGGTGGACGGTGGGCATCAGGGGACAATCGGTGCATGTTTGCTCAGGGTGTCTGAAATAAGCATATATTTGCAGGGAGGGAAGTATAGTCAGATTTTGCTTCCCCAGACGCTGAAAAACAAATGGGTTGTGGGGCAGGGAGGAGCAGCACTTGGGGTGGGGGGCTATTTGGGGTGGGGGGAATTGCTTCTCATTAGGAAGGAGAAAAAGAGTGAGAATGGGGGTGATTTCTTCTTTCCCGTCTCTGTTAAGGATATCATTTTAGAATCAGGAAGGGAGAGGAGGCACAAACGAGATTCCTTTTCCTGTTCAGGGTGCAGAAATTCAATTCTAAACAAATTGTCTTGCTCAGAGGACAGAGAATCCACTTGGGTGACATGTCAGGGCTCAATTGCTGCATTTTGGGTCCCCCCTCCCCATTTCAGGAAGTTAAAAAGAATAAAATATCCTCTCCCCCCCCCCCAGATCATTCCGAACGGGCTCTCTGCAGAGCAGGGGGCCTGACCTGGCCTCCTTTCTCCCGGTCCCCTCATCCACAAACTTGCTGAATAAGGGAGATAGGAGTGGTATCCTTGTGTCCCCCCCCCCCAGGCATCTTGCAGATGGTCCTTGACTTATAGGAATTCATTTAGTGACTGTTTCAAGTTACAACAGCACTGAAAAAAATGACTTTTTTCACACATACAGCATCCCTGTTGGTTCGTGTGATCAAAATTCAGATGCTTGGTTCATATTTACGACGGTCGCAATGTCCTGGGGGTGGTGGTGGTCACGTGATCCCCTTTTGCGACGGTCGGACAAGTAAAATCACAGGGAGGGACAGCTTCACTTAACAAGTCTGCTGCGAACTTAGCAACTGCAGTGATTCACTTAACAAGAACGGTCGTAAAACGGGGGGGAAACTCCCTTAAACATCTGTCTCGCTTAGCGACAGGCATTTTGATCACAAGTCGAGGACTATCTGTAATCCCTTAAGCTTGGGCCGGGCCTGCTGCATCCAGTCGGGCGTGCGGACCAAGCCCAGAGATTTCACAATGTATTTGGTCGGGAGATTCCTTCCCCCAGTTTGCAAAATGGGATTCCTTCCATCACAATTTGGACCAATCTCTGCACAGCTTTCGTTTTTTTTAATCCCCTGGCCTGAGCTTGGCTGCCCCCTGGTGGCTGTTTTACACAGTGCAGGGGGATGTTCTCTGCACACTCGCTCCGATCCTTTATACGGCTTTGCCCCCTCCCCAGAAATGTCCTGCGAGAAACCCCCCACCTCACCCACCTTTCTGCATCGCGCCCCACAGCTTCTTCCAAAAAACGATTAGCACCTAAATACGGGAGGGGGGAAAAGCTTCCCACTGTAATCCCATCATCTCTCCCCCCCCCTTGCTCAAGCCTTCCCTCCCCTCCTCCTCAACCAAAGGTACCCCCCCGAGGTCGTTTGCACAAAACGGATAATTTTTTTAATTGTATTTTTTTAAAAGAAAGGAATGACCCCCCCCTCCCCCCGAGAACTCTTCTGCATCCTTTCCCCTTGAATTTCCTGACTCGATTGCACTAAGGTACGCCTTCAACGGTGAGAAGATGTCTTTTTTTGCACACTTATTATTTTTTCCCCCCATTTTTCCTGAAGACTGAGAGATAAAATTAGGGAGGGGTCTGCGCGCACGCTGTGAAAAACCACAGGAAGCTCCCGCCCTCCAGAAGTATTTGTTGAGTTAATCTGTATTTAAAAGAGATAATATATTTTATCCCGCTCTGTTTCCCTCCCCCTTCAATCCCCACCTTCCCCCCCCACCCCAATTCCAGGAAAAAGAGGAAATAACTGAAATTTTCCTTAGCCTTAAAAAGTGCCTTTGTGTTTAAACTTGAATTTGCTACTTGAAACCCAAGAAGGGAGGAAGAGAGAGAGAGAGAGAGAGAGAGAGAAAGCAGGTTCCCTATTATTTTATGTAACGTTTCCTGTCTTATTTCCTCGGTTTCCCCGTTGGGAGATTTTTTTTTTACCGTCTGTTGAGTAAAACTCACCAGTGTCCTACCTGGCAGGGCTAGCGTTAGTCAAAGGAGGGAGGGGGTAAAAAGAAGCATATTTACTTGGACTGTTTGGGAAAAGGGGACGGTTCCTGCTTCGGTTTTATTTTATTTTTTTAAAAGGATTGTTATTGTTGTTTGTGTGCTGGAATTCAAGGGGATTATTTTTTTGTGTGTGTGTCTGTGCCGAGGGCTTGATAATAAAACGGACAGCAGGGAAACCTTGTGGCGCGCACTTTTGTGTCGGTGTATCTTTTGCTCGTGTTTTGCGTGTCACGTCCGGATCACAACTTTCACAACCTCCCCAGCGACATCTGTGTTTTTGCCCAAAAATCTGAATTCTAAACGATCCTTGAAGTCTCCAAGAACGCAAAGAAGATTTGGGAGCGAGAACAAATCCATATTTTTATCTCGTTGAATCGCTCTGTAGATTTATCTTCTCTTTACGCGGGCGAGGAGTTCGGTCTCAGGGCCGAGTCATTTTTTTCGGGCTCTCTTTCCCACTCGATCCGAGCGAAGTTTTGGCTCGGTTTTTACCTCTTCTAATTCCTCGCCGCTGCTCATCTCGGCCTCGTTTTGGTAACTGAAGTCAAGATGACTGAAAAGGAGAAAAAGAAACATTCACGCCTCTTTGTTTTACATTTTACTAGCCAACTCCACTGCGCTCTACAGTAGAAGCCATTTTACGGCAGTACAGTAGAAGCCATTTTAAGGCACAACAGGCTGTATCTTAACAGATCACACAAAACCAGGGGTTGTTAGGGGTGTCTTACCCCACAATATGTTTTTTCCAGATAGTAAGTCATCTGTATACCAAATGTGGTTGAAATTGCTCAAGGCATTTCAGAGTTATGCTGGAATATCTACCTACCTACCTACCTACCCCCCCCCCTCTCTCTCCCCCCTCCCCCCCCCCCTCTCTCTCATATATATATTCCCTAACCAATGTGGCTGACTGGGGAATTCTGGGAGTTGAAGTCCACAAGTCTTACGCGTGTTAAGTTTGGAGAGCCCACAGTTCTAATGGGTCAAAACAACCCATTGGGGGCTTCTTTCCAGGATTAAGCCACCATTCAACCAATGACTCATGATTAAACCCTGATTCAACCAACTCACAACACAATGCAGAAACCGCACCAATTGTAGCTTGATTGCACCATCTGTACTCTGGCTGGTTGACAGTACAGCACAGAGAGATGCAGCTTTCTTTCCTCACCATTCCACCCCTGCAGTGCGGGCCATTCTGTTGAAAACGGTATGGATCTATTGTGGGAACAGGCGATGGGGGAAGAGGGGCGTCCGCTCCTCACCTTGTGTCCGAACTCAACGTGCTGCTCTCGTCGTCTGAACTGGAGGATGACTCTTCCTCGCTTTCACTACTTTTCTCCTCCTCCTCTTCCTCCTCCTCTTCCTCCTCTTTCAATTGTGCCAGGATTTTCCTCGCCAGCTGTGCGGGCAACGCGCGGCACCCGCCTTCCCCTTTCACCGCTCGCAGGATCCGGGTCTTCAGCAACCGGCGCTGCTTCTGTCGTTTCTCATCGGGGACTCCGCGTAGCGCATGGACCGCGTTCGTCCAGAGTACCATCGCCTCCTCGTCACTCGAATCTCTGAAGGGGGGTTTTAAAAGAGAGAGGGCTTAGAGCGCCTCCTTTACTAGGAGACTCCCTGGTGTGAGATGCCCTCTGAGCTGAGTGGTGTCCTTGCAGGCGTTTCGTGACCCAACTAGGGAACATCATCAGGGATGGAAGGGAATGGGTTTGCTGGGAAGAGGAGGAGGAGGAGGAGGAGGAGGAGGAGGAGGACTGACGGGTCCTTGGTGTTCTCTAGCATGGTTATTTCTTCCAGACATTTCATCACCCATCTAGGAAACATCATCAGTGCTGAAGGGAATGGGTTTTGCTGGGAAGAGGAGGGAGGGGGAGGAGGAAGAAGAAGAAGAGGAAGAAATAAAGAAGGGGGAGAAAGAGGGAGAAGGGAGGAGGAGTAGGAAGGAGAAGAAGAAGGAAGAAGAGGAGGAGGGAGGAGGAGGAGGAGGAGAAGAAGAAGAATTAGAAGAAGAAGGAGAATTAGAACAAGAACAAGAATTAGAAGAATTAGAAGAAGAATTAGAAGAAGAAGGAGAAGAATTAGAATGAGAAGGAGGAGGAGGAGGAGGAGGAGGAGAAGAAGAAGAAGAAGAAGAAGAAGAAGAAGAAGAAGAATATTCACACTCCTTGGTGCTCTCTGAGCTGGGTGGTTTCCTTGCAGACGTTTCACAACCCAACTAGATAACATCATCAGTGCTAGAAGGGTTTGAGTTTGCTGGGAGGAGGAGGAGGAGAAGGAGAAGAAGAAGAGAAGAAGAAGAAGAAGAAGAAGAAGAAGAAGAAGAAGAAGAAGAAGAAGAAGAAGAAGAAGAAGAAGTAGTAGTAGTAAAGGAGGAGAAAGAGAGGAGAAGAACGGTGGAGGAGTAGGAAGAAGAAGAGGAAGAGGAGGAGGAGGAGGAGGAGGAGGAGGAGGAGGAGGAAGACTCCTCGGTGCTGAGCTGGGTGGTTTCCTTGCAGACGTTTCCTAACCCAACTAGATAACATCTTCAATGCTAGAAGGGAAAGTGGGTTGCCAAAAAGAGGAGAATGAGCCTGATTCACTTAAGAACGGCCATAAGCTGCAGGCACTTACATTTCCTCATCTATATCACCCTGGTACGTCAGGGGGGCCATACAGATGGAGCAGGTATTGTTGAGGATCCTGTAGCATTCGGGGCAGTATATCCCTGCAAAGGATTTTTTTTTAAAAAAAAAAATCAAACAGGGGGTTCCTCCTATTCCCTCCACCCACCCTTCGCCCTCCTTTGGCTCATTTCCAAACCTCGGCACGCCGGCGTGATGCACGTCACAAAGTCCTCGCTGTCCGCCCCCCTCTGCAGCTTCCCGCAGCCCATGCAATACGCCTCGTGGATCCCCAACTTCTTCACCAACCAACGACACAGGCGGAACCTGTGACAAACACGGGCGTGTGGATGAGAAAGTGTGCGAGAGCGGCACGCGAGGAGAAAAGAGCACGAGGTGAGTCTCGTACGGGTTTTCTGCGAGTGGGTCCACCGGGTTGTGATTTGCGGGCCGCTGACCACTTCGCCACTATTGTGAGTCTCGCCATTTTGCCATCCCATGAGCAAATTTGTCTTTTTTTAAAAGCTAGTCTTCAACTTACGACCGTTCATTTAGTGACCGGTGTTACAACAACACTGAGGGGAAAAGGGAACTTAGGATCATTTTTCACACCTAATGACTGTTGCAGCTTCCCCAGGATGCTTGGCCCCTTGACTCGTATTTATGACGGTCACAGCATCCCGGGGGGTGATGCAATCCACCTTCTGACAAACCAAGTCAACGGGAAAACCCAGATTCACTTAACAACCGAATTACTCACTTTAACAACTGCAGGGATTCACTTAAGGAATGTGGCAAGAAAAGTCTCAAGGTGGGGCAGAACTGCCTCAAATGTCTCACTCAGCAACATAAATCTTGGGCTCAATTGTGGTCGTAAGTCGAGGATTGCCTGTGTATGAAATTTTGAGACCTCCCATCTTGCTGACAAAGCTTTGGGAGAGGTAGTTAAAATATCCGTTTGTTCATTCATTCGTTTTACAAAATGGTATGTCCATATTAATTGCCCTGGAATTATCTTAAAGGAAAAAGTAAAGGTTCTCCTCGCACATATGCGCTAGTCGTTCCCGACTCTAGGGGGCGTTTCAAACCCGAAGAGCCAGTGCTGTCCGAAGACGTCTCCGTGGTCATGTGGCCGGCATGACTCAACGCCGAAGGCGCACAGAACGCTGTTTCCTTCCCACCAAAGGTGGCTCCTATTTTTCTACTCGCATTTTTTACGTGCTTTTCAACGGCTAGGTTGGCAGAAGCTGCGACGAGTCACGGGAGCTCGCTCCATTACGCAGCGCTGGGGATTCGAACCGCCCAACTGCTGACCTTCCTGATCGACAAGCTCAGCGGTCTTAGCCACTGAGTTACCGTGGCCCTGTTTTACTTTGAAATAACTTACTTGGATGCAAAGATGAGTAGAATATTACGGTGTCCTTCATCCGCGGAGTTTTGCCGTACGGCCCGAAGCACAGCTCTCATAAGATTGGTCCTTCGAGTCAAAATCGTATTGTACAGGTAGCAGACCCGTTCCTAAATTGGGGGGGGGGGAGTTTTATTTTCTTTAAACCTCAGAGATTGACAGCTGCCAAAATGAGAGTCGATGCAGATCTCGGTTGAATCGGTTTGCAGTTCGCCTCAAAGAGTCACCGTCGACTTTAATTAAAGTTTCCCTATTTCTTTAGCTTGCACACGCACACACACGCGCGCACACACACACGCACAAACACTTTCCTGATTGCGAGGTAGGCCACCGGAAGAGGGGAAACATGGGAAAAACTCACCCGTTCCCGAGAGGGATAATACCATGCGCAAAGAACTCGCCGGGTACGTTGTATATAGGTGCCGAAAATGGCGCTGAATAAACAGACCCCGTACATGAGACCTGGGGAAAGAAGCAGGAAAAAGACAGGTGAACACGCCTTCTCTGCCTCCAGCGGGGGGGGGGGGGTGTTGGGATAGAGGACCTCTAAGGGCCCTTCCAACGTGACGATTCTGTGGTTGTCATTATGGCCGGGGAAACAGTCTTGGGTTAGACGCAAAAGAGAGAAGTTTGGCTGAAAGTTAGGAAAAATATCTTAAAATAGTTTGGTCGAACGCTTAAGGATGGAGTAAGCCCTGCGGTTTTTTTTTCCTCGCTCTTACGACCATCCCACCATCGCGGCGATCAAAATTCCGACAACCGAAAACTGTATTGACAATGATGGTAGCATCCTAACGACGGTCTGATTCATTTAAGAACCATGTCAAAAATGAATGCTTGTAAAATAGGGGCCGCTCGCTGAACGGCGGGAAAAACCAGGTCCCAAACACAAGTCATAAGTCAAGGACTTCCCTTTGCAACCATTTTGCAGGTTTCGCACCTTCGCCTGAATCTTCTCGGCTCCCCCAAGAATGCTCCGGCGGGCGTGATGGATACACACCCCACCCCACCCACCCCCACGGAGGATGATGGATTACAGTGTCTCTTTCGATGCTTGGCCGCTACCGTTACGATAGTTCAAGTGGCCGCCGAGGAGGGTTTTAAACGCAGCGAGATTGTGTCGCTGGAGTGCTTGGGGAAAAAAAAACGGCCCCTTTGTCATTTAAAGTACTTTATTGCTCTCCAAAGGGAGATTTTTCCTTCCTTGAAATTCGAACGCCGTGACCGATATTAAGTGTTCTGCTCTTTAACGCCTGCCTCATGCAGATAAGAAACATTTGCAGGCAATCTCTTTGTGCTATCCCCTCCGCTGTTTTATATAATCCCCCAAAGCCTCCCTCTTTTAAATCCACCCACGTCCGCATGAGGTCCTCGACTTACGACAAGAGAGACATTTCAGAAGCCGAGCGAGAGACGCCGGTTTGATGAGTTTGCCCCCCCCCTTTTTAAATGACCTCCCTTGCCGCCGTCGTTCAGTGAATTGCTGCGATGGTTAGGCCAGCCCCATGGTCGTACAACGAATCGAGCTTCTCCGGTTGACTACTTCTCTGAAGGGGTCTCCGGGACACTACAACCGTCGTAAACGATGCGTCGTTTGCCCAGCATCTGAATTTTTGTGACCATGAGGATACTGCAATGGTCGTAAGTGTGAAAAATGGTCATGCCACTTTTCCATGCCATCGTAATTTTGAGCAGTCGCTAAATGAACTGTCGTAAGTCGAGGACTACCTGCAACCCCCCCCAAAAAAAGTCTCTCTCTTTGAAAGCCATAACTGTCTAATTCTCTCTATCCCCCTTTTTATCTTTTTAAAAATTCTCCCGCCAACTCATTTTGGGGGAAAACTGACGTACAGGAAGAGGATCCGGTCAGTTTCACTGAAAACCAGGAAAAAAATTCAGTGAAACTGGCAGGTTCCCTTCCTTGGTGAGCGGGACTGGAAGCAATGCCTGAAATCCAGCTACCGATCACGAGGTAACCGTCGTAGTCGGGCTCCGACGGGTGCAGGCGGCATTTGGGGGACACCACACTGATATTCCCTTCCTGGAGCACGTCGAAGGTGGAGACCATGTCGCGATACAGTTCACTGGTGTAGCCAGAGCCATTCACGCTGATCGTGGTGATCACCGGAGCTGCAGAAAAGGATGTAGGACGAGGAGAAGGACGTAAATCCTCTAGTGACCTGTCTTTCTGTTCTGGGGATCATAGAGCACGGGAGTTTGGAAAGTTATTTCCTTCACTTCCCCTCTCCATGGTTCCTTCCTTCCTCTCTCTCCCTTTCTCCTCTAATCTTCCCCCTCTCCATCCTTCCGCTCTTAGTTTCAATTTCGTTTCCCTTGCCTCTCCTTTCCTTCCTCCTCTTTCCCCTTTCCTTCATACCTTTTCCCTCTCCGCTTCTCTTCTCCGCTTCTGATCTTTCCATTCTCCTTTCTAACTTTCGCTCTCCTCCCTGCTTTCCCTTCTGCTTTCCTTTTCTTTCGTTTTTATTCCTTTCTGCCTCCATCCCCTCTTTATTTTTTACTTTCGCTTTCACTTTCTTCCCTCCCTTTCATTTCCTTACTTTTCCTTTCCTCCTCCCTCTCTCCTTCCTTCCTTCCTTCCTTTCCCTCTTCCCTTTCTTCCCCTTCCCTTTCTCTCCCTCTCCCTCTTTTCTTTCCCTGACGAAATCCAGTAGGTGGAAACGCCCGCCTTCCCTCCCTCCCTCCAGCCCTTCTGCCTTACCTCTCGCGACGATCTCGCCCACCAGATGGTAGCGCACCAAGTCGAGCAGCCAGTAGACCGAGAAGTCCGCCACAATCAGCAGGATCACCAGGATAAACTGGCGACAGATACGGGCCAGGGCCAGGGCGTAGGCGATCTGCTCCTTGCGTGGTAACACCATGGAGGCTGTGGAACAAGGCATAGAATCATCCCTTGCTCTTGGCTAGATCAGGGGTGTGATTGACCTCCCGGTCGTCGGTGACGTCCGCACAACCACATACTGGGTCGGATGTACTTGGTGCTTTCCTTCGGCGATAAGGGCAGCACAGACGGGAGCTTGTTTTTCCTCCGAACGGCGTCCATTTCGAGGAAGGGTTTGGTGATGTAGATGTTGTCAAAACTGTCCTCGTGGAGGTAATGTTTTCGGTACAGGAGAGCCCTGGAGAAGTGAAGAATTCCTCAGGGAGGAAAGAAGACCCACAACAACAAGGTCAAATCTCCTTTTCCTTGAGATCTGGGGTCCATCATCTTATTTTCCATTTTCATATGTTATGAAAATGGAAAATAAAAAAGTATATATATATTTTTTTTAAAGGAGAGAAGTGGTCTATAACTAAGGAGAAATTTCCTGACAGTGAGGACAATTAACCCGTGGAACGCCTTGCCACTAGAAGTTGTGGAATGCTCCATCCCTGGAGGTTTTCAAGAAGAGCCCGGACAGCCATTATATCCGGATATCCGGAATGCGATAGGGTTTCCTGCTTGAGCAGGGGTTGGGCTAGAAGACCTCCAGGGTCCCCTCCAACTCTGTCATTCTGCCCCTCCTCGGCTCACCCGAGGTACATGTAGAGCATCACCAGAGTGGACATGTAGCCGAAAAGTCCCACCGCTTCCCGTGCCGGTTGCAGACGCTCGGACACTTCCTCCATGATGTCGAAGGCCACCTCCGAGAGCTTCTTGCTGGCGTTGAAGCTCACCTGGTACTGGTGGATGGTGGTGATGTTGAATTCGAACTCGGCACGCACGCGGTTCAGCATGGCCACCACGGCTTGGGGCCGGAGAGAGAGACAAGAGAGTTTGTAAAATCTCAGGAATGGTTCTGGGATCCTTTTTTTCCCCCCTCCCTACCTTTCCAGGACAACCTGCCCCTCCCAAGTAGGAGCGCCCGGTGGGTAGGGCCCGTAAGAAAGGTAGGCGGGGGCCTAAAGAGGGCGGGGACACATAGAAAGGGGCAGGGCCGATCCTCTTGGGGAAGTGTTTCGTTGGCCGTTGCGAGAGGCGGGATATTGAGACGGAAAAGAGGAGGAGGAGGAGGCGGCTCCGGGCTTACGTTCTGCCACTCTGCGACGCAGAAACGGTACGATGTAATCCGGGATGATACAGAAAACCAGAAGGACTGCGGAAGGAATGAGAAAAAGGAATGAGGAGAGTAGGGTTGGCGTGTGTGTGTGGGGGGGAAAGGTAGATCACCCAGGAGCAGCCCAAATTCCCTAAGCTTCGCTGTTTCCTTGCAAGCGTTTCATTAACCAAACTAGATCACCACTGCTAGCACTGATGGTGCTACCTAGCTTGGTCATGAGATGTCTGCAAGAAAACCACCAACCACACTCTCAGAGAGCACAAAGGACCCCACAACCACACCATCCTCCTCCTCCTCTTCCTCCTCTTCCTCCTCCCTGCAACCCCCACTCCCTTCTAGCACTGATGATGTTCCCTAGTTGGGTCATGGAATGTCTGCACGAAAACCACCAAGCTCAGAGAGCACCAAGGACCCCACAGTCCTCCTCCTCCTCCTCTTCCTCTGCAACCCCCACTCCCTTCTAGCACTGATGATGTTCCCTAGTTGGGTCATGGAATGCCTGCACGAAAACCACCAAGCTCAGAGAGCACCAAGGACCCCACAGTCCTCCTCCTCCTCTTCCTCCTCCCCACCACAAACCCCACTCCCTTCTAGCACTGATGATGTTACCTAGCTGGGTCTAGAAATGTCTGCAAGAAAACATCAATCAATCTCAGAGAGCACCAAGGACCACCACAGTCCTCCTCCTGCTCCTTCCCCCCCGATAAACCCTTATCCCTTCTAGCACTGATGATGTTGCCACGTCTGGTAATGAAACGTCTACAAGAAAGCAACCACGTGTACAGCTACGAGGGAGCAAATCACACTCAATAGCTCTGATGATGTAACTTCGTTGGGTCGCGAAACGCCTGCAAGAGGGCACCAGGGACCCCACGTGTCAACCCTGAGCAAAACACATTCCCCTTTAGTGGAGCCAACGTTCCCTCTGCGATCAGTAAATTTGAGCACGGGAGTGTCTTATCAACCCGATCGCTTAGCCGTAGAGGTTCCGGTCCGAAATGTCAGCAGGCCGGTGATTTCCGCCACCGGCTGAGGCGAACCGCTTCCAAACCCCCTGAATACCACCTCGCGATCGGATTTGGGGGCGGGGTGGGGGGGAAAGAACTGAAGCCAGGCTCACTGTTTGCCAATCCGCAGAGGTGCTTGAAGAGAAGTACGACGTAGCAGAGAAAGGAGAGGAAAGGGATGGCCCTCTCGCACTTGTCCTTGGCACTGTCGAAGATGCGGAGGCACTTCTGATACGGCCGGCCCATCTCGTCGTTGCAAACGTCCCCCATGTGGAGAAGGAAGTACCAAACGTTGCGCATGCAGTGAGCTGCGAGGCGAAAGAATCGGCGCAGACGGGCGGCCCTCGGCGTACGGCCGCAACCGAGCCCAAAACGGACGCGAAACATTTGTTAAGAGAGTCTGCCCCATTTTACGACTTTGCTGGCCACAGAATTTTAAGCGAGTCACTGCCTGTTGTGGCCCACCAGCGGCTGGTAGCCGATTCGGACAGTGAGGAGGTTGGGGAGGAAGATGGGCCAGTTCTGGAGTCTGGGGAAGGCTCGGAGGAGGGCTCTGCGTCGGAGGCAGAGACGAGGCCAGGGCCGTCTGACAGTTATCCCAGCTGCCTTCGGAGTCGGACATCAGTGAGGCTGAGGAACAGCTGGAGCCTGTTCCCAGTGTGCGCATGCACAGAGTTGCCAGACAAAGGGAAGAGCTAAAGAACAAGGGTCGACTTGGGAGTAAGGCCACAGGTGGACGGTGAATCGCCCCTCCCAGAGGCCATAAAAGAGGAGCGAAAGGGGAGTGGAGTTTGCAGGAGACAATTAATTTGTTTAATTAGTATGAAGATTTGT